ATGGGAATGGAGAGAATTACACTATTGAGAGATGTGAAAAATAATGAAGAGGGTTTCACAATGTGAAATTGTGTTTCTCATTTGAATCTGAGAAACAAATGAGGAGAGACTGGAGATAATTATGTCTAAAAGACAGTGGGGTACAGGGAGAATAAAGGCCACGGAGAAAGGGAACTGCAGGAATTAGTGCTGAGAAGCAGGAGTTTGGTGGAAGAAGGAGGAGATCCAGTCCCAGATACAGGCAAATAAGTCTTCTCCCTCTCCCAAGCATGGCAGTCAACTCTGCAGGAAACAGGACAAGAGAAAAGGCCATCATACCTGTCAGTCTTCCTGAAATACAGAAATGACATCACGGCTGCTATATCGGATTATGACCAGGATGGAGGTCCTATTCCTGAAAGAGCTGTCATGGAAAGAAAAGAAAAGAAGGAATGGAGGTGATGTTATTTTACAGGGGGGAGCCTCAAGAACAAGCATGTGACATGAGGTATTCTATAACTGTTTCTTCAAGGAATACATTATTTCTGTTGGAAAGTTGATGGGAGATGATTATATTCCTGCAGTTTTGTTCCCCTCTCATCATATTTCTAGGTTGGTGATCAGTCCTCTGTCATTTCTCTACTGCACTCAGATATTTCAGAAAACTTTCAGATGTGAGAAAGGCTGATTGCTATTTTCTATGTCATTAGAACTTTCCACCTTTCCACCTTTTCATGGTTGCATCTTTTTCTCAGTGCCTCTGTGGTGGCAACCATGAATCCGACCCTGCCAGGTGTCCATGGCAGGGACCTGATTGACAGAAGGCCCAGGTCAGTGCATTTCAAATTCACCACCTCCTTTGCACAGAAAGCTTCCTTCCCACAGGCTCCCAGCAAGGGCGCGAAAGCAAGCCTAGTTCTCTGAGGCTCTCTTTAACTTTAACGGGTGACTGGTTGGAGGATTCCCTATCAGCGTTGCAGAAACTCTCTTAGAACTGCATTGATACCTAAAACTTCTTTCTCTTTCTTTTACACAGAAGTCAACTTTGCATAGGGGTCTGTGGGTTCTCCCATACTACCTTCACGTCTGCCCCACATTCCCTCACAGGTATCTTCCATGATAAATTATCTCATATGTCCAATCCCAAAGTGGATACATCTCAGTTGGTAAAAAGTAACAGACCAGACTTGATTCTTTGCACTTAGCTTTTTTCCTTTCTCTACCACAAGTAGTCAGTAGTCATGTCCTAGTGTTTTATGTGAAACCTTTCTTTCTATATACATATGGAAATAGGTACTGTTGAGGGGCACGTCTTATGTGCCAGGTCCTGTGCTAAATACTTTTCCTGTACCTCATTTAATTCACACACTAACACTGTCAGGTAGACATTATTTCCATTTTGCCAATGAAAAGACACAAGTTTAGAATAGTGTAAAATCTCTCCTGGTGTCATATGGCTAGTAATAGGTGGATCTGAGATTTGA